ACATTCCAGCCTGGAATGCTTGATTGAATGAGGCACAAAACAGGGCAGCCATTCAGAACAGAGCTGATTTACATATATCAGTCTTAAAGGCACAGCAACAGAAATAGCCTGTTTAGTTCTAAGGGATAAAGAGAGGCTAGGAACCGATTATGTAAAAATCAATTATGACTGTTTTGCTGCATAAACCCACATAAACATTATGTGGATTTGAGGGAACAAAAATAAAACACAGGAAAGAAATGGAGAATATGTGGCTTTTAAGCTTTAAGCTCTGGAGTTGTTCTCCATGTACAGCATACAGGCTTTTGTCCTCCATCTCAATACGAACATGCTGCGAAAAAAGACAAACTCGCTCTCGCCCAAACAGAGACAGTGTGATGGATGATGGAGCGGGGCCCCCTCCGCAGCCCCGTGATATAATTCCCTTATCATCAGCTCCCGGGATGCTCACTTCCTCCTCCAAGTGGCTGGGAGTCAATAAGCACCATCTCGTCTCAACCCTTGGCAAACTGGAGTGATGGCAATTACGGTGACATATTGCGTCTCCTCAGGGACTCTCGAGGCAATTAACTCATCTCGTCTTAAATCTGCTCTCTACTGTATATCACACTCTTTGCTCACAAGCCCGGCCGAGGCTTTGAGAAATGGGCCCGGCAGAGGATTTGACTCCATCTAATGAGTTAAGATAAGATTAGAGGCGTCTAAATGAAGACGGTCCGATAGGAGCGCTCGGCCAGCGGTGATGTCTTTTATAAGAGATTATTAAGATTATTATTATTATTAAGAATGCACATATAGGAATACACATTTTCAGTGATGAATGGGAAAATTTAATTAATATTACCAGTCCAGTGCTGGAATTATATCAGTTTTTCCTTCAAATTCCATTCTAAATTTCCCCTTTAAAATGCTTTTACTTCTAATTAGATCAAAATTTCACATAGAGAAAATATGACTGCATCATTTATTTCATTCACTGCATTTGTTCTTTCATTTATTTTTTTATTTATTTATGTTTTTTTCCCAATTTTCTCCCCAATGTAGTCGTCTCCAATTCCACCGGCTAGTTTGGACTCCCCGAGTCACATGATACCACATATCACCAGCACTAGGAGGGCGAAGGCTAACACAGGCTTCCTCCGAGTCCTGTGAAGCCGAGTCATTTATTTTTTATAGCCATTTCAATTTAAATAAATGTCAAAATTCCATCTGATTCCACATTTAGGGAAGTTCCATTTTCACATGTGAATTCCACAAAACCATCCGTAATTCCATGAAAACAGAATAAGGGCCCCAAATTTATGGGTGGTGATTATGATAACTTTGCTCTTAGAGTGAAGTGAAGATGTCCGCAGAGTGACCACGTTTCATGGGTTCACTGAAGGACGATGCAACTGCAGTTGGCAACAAATGATTAGCTAAGATACAGCAAAGACTTTAAGCATCATTTATCTAATTAATCAATTCAAACTCCTAAGTCCATTGATCCTTATAGCCTAAAGAATGTGTAGTAACTAGGATTAGCATTTAGCATCTTTTTGTAACCTTTTTTTAACCTGTTTTGACCAGCTCACTGCACTTCTCATGCAAAACTATTTGCTATTGGTATTAGACTTGTCATCACTGATGAAAAAATAGTATAAAATAGCAGTATGGATGATTGTCACAAGGAAATGCGTCTGAAGAGCGCTGCTGGAGAAATATGCTCAAGAAATGTGCTTAAAATAGGCCAATATAGTGAGATCCTTTCACCTGAAAATAGATGTACAGCATGAAAAAAGTGTGAGTAAAATAATTGTATAATATTTTTAACAATGTCAAATTGTGACATATTTAATGTATCGGCTAAACTAAAGATGATTTCACTTGCCAAGATCATTTTTTGCAGCGAAAACATGCACAATAGAAAAGACTTCATACAGACAGATAATCAATCAACTAATTAACTACTCATACACATGCTTTGAACTGGGAAAGATTACACATAGCTTTCCAGTCTGGCAAAGAATGCTGGGGAATATGCAAACAAAACAGAGAAGCTGCGGTACATGAGATGTCCTCTCTGATAGAAAGCAAAATAGACAAGCTTGTCCAGATAATTCTGGAAATGATAATCATTTGTCTAAATTCACATTATCATCCAGTTTTAGTAGCAAATAAATAATTGCTGTCACCCAAAATCTCTACCTTTTGTTATATTAGCTTCGGTGCTAAAGGTAAAGAAGCAAACTTTCGACACCAAACATGTCTTGACTACATTTTGGGTAACGTGGCTGTGTCTCCTGGGCCCTGATGACAGCTGCGAGAGCCGGCGGGGCTTATACCCCGAAGACAGCCAAGGAATGTGAGGCAAATTAAAGTGGCTACACTGCAGGACACTCACGTGTCGCCCCTGACTCACTCGCGGTTCTCCTCTCCCCATCGTCCTTGTGGGGCTTCGTCCTTGCTCAGGGTTAACTCTGGGCCCTGCCGGCTCTCGCAGTCGTCATTAGGGCCCGGGGGACGAGCGCAAGCCACAGTGGGAAATTATATTTTTAAGTTAAGAACGTTTTTCTCCCTGCTATGAAGTGACCATTCCAGGCATGAAATGTTCTTACAGCAGTGATTATTTTAGTAATCGAATCATTTTGGAGGAAAAAAACGTCCAGGGACAAATGTTTCCCCCTCGGTATGCTGTTTACTCTTTACTGAGCATAATAAAGTGCGAAGGCACAGTACTTCCTCATTATTAGTTTGCCTGTGCGGATCGATGGTGTTCTGACCGGCAGCACCTCTGGAGCGGACAGCTGGGAGATATTATCTAATGGAACTCACTAACCCACTGATCTCCTGCTGCTTCTGACCAGCTTCACAACTCCAGCCTGCAGGAGGAGCCGCTTTAACTCTGCTGAGAGAAATCGCTCTCCATACAGTCGTCCTCCCTCGGGGAGCCAAAGGCCATGGCTGCGCTTCAAAAACATCATTTGGAGAAGAACAACTTTGCCGTTCACATAGGATTCGCAGAACCTATCAGTGCTACTGCTATCAGCGGCTATTAACTGCTGAAAAAGCCCATTAGATTCTTGAGGGACTCAGTATACCATGCAGCACATTACTGTATGTATTGGAATGAGTATTGGTCTTTAGATATTTATAGTGGCTGTGCTTTGGGGAAGTATTTGTTTAGTACTTAATTTCATCCCCTCGTCAGCTTCGCCTCAAAGTTTCCCCACTCAGTGGAGTGCCCAGCATCTTAAGGGACGCAACATTGCTGTATTAGCTCTAGTGAAGTTGGTTAGATGAGTCCTCGGAGGGGCTGAGGGTCAAGCGAACCGTAGTGCTGACATCAAGGTTGTGATGTCACAACCGTGAACATCTTTACATATGATGTCCGTTTGGCCGACAGCAGTTTAGCCCAGCCCATTCGGTGATGTGGAGTGTTGTTCCTGCAAACAGTCTGTAGTTACTGGAGTGGAAGATGTTGGAAATCGATTAAACGTTGTACTGTTCATGGCTGGCAGTAAGCAAATAGATCATTGCTGCTTCCAAAGGATCCACATGTCCAAAAGGAGCGGGTGAGGTTTTGTTTTTCAGTCCAAACTTTAAGGACTAACCAAAATCAAACCAAATGCTGAACACACTGCTGTAAATATATGGGGTGCATGTCTCAGTAGAGGTCTGATCATTAACACCCGCCTGATTCAACCGCTAATCACGTCTGCCTGCGCCTGCAAAATCTAGTGTGATTCTTGCCCATTAGCAACAGGTTTTGCCCACTCATGTCCATTTCAATCTAGCAGTTCTGTGCCTGCACATATTGATTGACATCTTCTATCCATATCTTATATAATCTGGAATATACATATCAATATTCTATCCCCTGTGTACCCTGCATCTCATTTATCCACCTCAGACTCACTAATTGCATATATGGAAATGTGTACAACTGTACAGTTCATAGCTTTCGTTTCACAACCTATATTACTGTTACAAAAACTGTACATTGGAAATGGTGCAATATTGGTGTATAATAATGTGTATATATAGAGTCTAATGTATATATTTTGTGGACTTTTATTTACTTTTGTATTTAAGTACTATAAAGGGGTTACACACCTAAGATTTTCACTCACCTTCGCACCTGTGTAGATGTGATGTGACAATAAACGTGATCTGATTTGATTTAATATCAACCGCACTCAGAAATAAAGGTACTAAACTGTCATGGGGGCAGTGCCCCTGTTGTCACTGGGGTGGTTCCCTCAAGGGTACATCTGAGTACCTTTAGTCATAACTGAATCATAATCCATTGAAATTATATTTTCTAAGATGTACTGACTCCACACACCCCGTCTCGTCTCCAGGCTAACCCTAACCTTAAAACCATTGTTGTACCTTTGAGGGAACATTTACACTGTTTGTACCTTGATGAACGAAAAATGTACCTGAACAGAACCTTTATTTCTAACAGTGCACATGCCACGCCCACCCACATCCGCCTACTTTGCGCTGTGCTTGTGGTCCTTGTCAAAAATGTGTAGAGTGTATCATGATATTTGGGTGTTTTTATGAATTTTGGCATTTTCCATTGAAGTGTTTTTTGCTTTTTGCTAAAAAATGGTGGATGAAAAACTTGCTTTTATCTTATCATTGCTAGAGGCTCCATGCAGTGAAGCAGGCAACCATGTGACAAGATGTGGACCAGTCACAGTCAGGGAAAGTCTTTTGTAGGAGTTCTGTTCAGCAGGCGCCGCATATCGCACCATACAAACTCTCCAAGCACCATTTTGTCCTAAATGATGTTTAATTGTTTGTTTCTTATATTTCAGCCTGGACTGCCTTTTGGACAAGATGTAATACAGGGCAGCCAATCAGAACAGAGGTCATTTACATAGATCACTCTTAACGGCACAAAAACAGCCCATTCAGTGCTCACGTAAAACTGTTTTTTGGTGCATAAAAGCGCTCAAAGAGTGTAGAAAGTGGCCCCTTTAACAGTGTTTTTGTTGTCTGTCCTGCAGAATGGAGAGGCGTCTCTGTTTGAGGTGAATATCAGATACGTCGGCGGCCTGCTATCTGCATACTACCTGACTGGAGACGAGGTAAGATCAGTCCCTGTCTGTTATCTCCGCTGCTCCATCTGAATCAGCACTTTCCTCTGTTGCATTTTAACACTGGAGCCTCAGCGATTGCTTGAAAGCGCACACACATCCCTCCGCCCACACTCACATCCAGTATATATTACAAAAATCCACCTATACAGGCAAGTGCACCAACATATACCCCTTCACTTTAACCTTCACTGACACCAACGACACCCACACATCTGTAGCGGCTAGCAGATAAGCCTCCCACTGTTCCGCCCACTCCAGCATGAGCAGTGGAGAGTGGCAAGCGTGGAGTCATAGTTCAGGTAAAGTGGATAAAATTCATAGTGGTGCAAAACTAATGGTCGAGGAATCTGTCGATGCGCGGCCTCTTGAGTCAGCCTAATGGGTATTGATCTGAGGTCTGAAGAAGTCAGAGAGGAAGACGAATGTCTGGAGTTCTACTGCCAATAGACAATTCAGCTCTTTGCGTTGTGAGGGGACTGAGTGACCTATTGTGCTGTAACCTCATAGGGGCAGTGGTTTCCAATCTCAGTCCAGGAGACGCCACGCTGTGTAGATTTGTGTATTTTCTTTAATGGGGGACAACTAACCCAGCAAAATTGAGTCAGGTGTGCTTTATGAGGGTAAAAAAAAACAAAAAAAGCACAGTGTATGTTGTCATTGGGAATGGTAACCACTGAAGATACATTAGATTTGACTCTAATAATTATTCATAATTATTTATTCATGTATGATTTTTGATGAGTTGGATCAGGTGTGTTGGGATAGGAAATAGTTGACGGTGTTGGTTGCTGGGGATCTACTTTCACACTTGCTTAACAGAACAGAGCACTCTTGAGTGAGTTGCTTTACCATTGTGCTGGTTGAACCATTTACCACTGAGTCAGTTGGTTTACCGTGGAGTCAGTTGTTGTTGTATTATTGAGCCAGTTGTACCATATACAGTTGAGTCATTTGTAACATTTGCTGTTGAGACAGCTGTTTTTACCATTGAGACAGCTGTACCATTTACCATTGAGCCACATATACCATTTGCCGCTGAGCTACTTGCTTTGCCATTGAGCCAGCTGTACCATTTATCATTAAATCATCTGTTTTGCCATTGAGCCATTTGTATTGTTAACCATTGATCAATTTGTGCCATTTACCATTGGGCCAGTTGTTTCCCACTGAGCCAGTGTTTTACCATTAAGCCATTTGTACCATTTACCATTGAGCAAGTGTTTTACCATTAAGCCATCTGTACCATTTACCATTAAGACAGTTGTTTTACCATTATGCCATTGCTACCATTTGCCATTGAGCCATTTGTACCATTGACCATTAAGCCAGTTGTACCATTTAGAATTGAGCCATTTTTACCATTGAACTGTTGGAACCATTTACTGTTGAGCCAGTTGTACCATTTAGAATTGAGCCAGTTTTTTTTTCCATTGAGCCATTGGTACCATTTACCACTGAGCCAGTTGTACCATTTAGAATTGAGCCAAGTTTTTTTTTTTTTACCATTGAGCCATTTGTACCATTTATCAATTAAGTCAGTTGTTTTACCATTGAGTCAGTTGTTTTACCCTTGAGCCAATTACACCATTTAGCATTGAGCCAGCGATACTGTTTTCTGCTGCAGTACTTGCTTTACCATTAAGCCACTTGTGGTATTTACAGCTGAGTCAGCCGCTTTACCTTTGAGCCGTTTGTACCATTTACCATTGAGCCAGTTTTACCATTTACCATTTAGCCATTTGTACCATTTACCATTTAGCCAGTTGTACTATTTACCGTTTAAGCCAGTTGTACCATTTAGAATTGAGACAGATTTTTTACCGTTGAACCATTGGTACCATTTACCGTTGAGCCAGTTGTATCGTTTAGAATTGATGCCAATGTTTTACCATTGAGTCAGTTGTTTTACCTTTGAGTCAGTTGTTTTACCATTGAGTCAGTTGTTTTACCCTTGAGCCATTTGCACCATTTACCATTGAGCCAGCGATACTATTTGCTGCTGCAGTACTGGCTTTACCATTAAGCAATTTGTGGGATTTACCGCGGAGTCAGCTGCTTTACCATTGAGCCATTTGTACCATTTACCATTAAGTCAGTTTTACCATTTACCATCATACTACTGTGCCTTTACGTGATTGTGCCAGTTGCTGAACCACTGACTTTCAAAGAACAAACACGAAACACCACCATTCAAATAATTAAAATTCACTCAGTCCCAGAGGTTGACACAAACTGGCCAGTGGAGCGAAACATTTTAATATGGAGTCTTTACACAGTGTGATAACATGAACCAAAGAAGACTGTTCTGTTTTGGTAAGGATACAGAAATTGTGACCGGTGCATCAGATGGTCAGTGACCCTTACTCAAAGGCATGGCTTATTGCTTAGTGCTGTCACACAGAGGAGCTGCATTCAGCTCTTTATTTCTTTCTCTCTTTTGGAGAGGGGCTGGATAATGCATACTGATGCACAATTGCAGGTAAATGGAGTTATCACATATGGTTACCCAGATGTTCTGTGGAGGAAGCAGCCTCTGCCTTTCTGCCTTCTTGATTTATAAGCATTCAGTATCAGGAGCTTCAGTGGTGCTTGACTTTTCTCAAGAGGATGAAGAAGATCCAGAGATAGGTGTGAAACCTCTCTTTATTCATCAGTGTTTCCACTAGGAAATGTTAGTGCTGGACATGGTGTCAAAATGAGACTTATTCTGCTGGACAAATGGGTAAAGTTCATGGAAAGTAATTGTAGCTGTTGGTGACAAGATGCATCCCTTTTCGCAAGTAGCCATAAAATGCAGTTTGTGCTTGTTTTTGATTTTCAAACCATAAGCGAACTACCTTTTTGTCCTCATAGGTGAGCAAACGATTCAACATTAACAGTGTTTTTATTCATTAAAAATGGCCACTAGGAGACCTGCAGGAAGAGGATACTCTTTCACATCGACACAGGACTTTATTGACCTAAAATGATGTGCGTACTTTAGATGAATATAATGAATAGTTTTATTGACCAGTGAGATTTTAACTAGTCAGTCTTGGAGAGATTTTCTCCAAATAGCGGTATTTGCCAGCAAAGATGAGTTTTTCATAACCTTTTTTACTCATTTATACCAAAGCTGCTTCTGCAGTGTGCACTGCTTACATTGCCACTTTATTAGAAACACCTTAGTTTGTGCTAATACTGGCCATTTTATCAGAAACACCTACTGTATTTGTTGGTATACAATTACAGACTGCAGATCATCTGTTACGGCACTGTTTATTTACACCTACCATTGAGCCATTTGTACCATTTACCATTGAGCCACTATTACCATTTACCATTGAGCCATTTGTGCCATTTACTATTGAGCCATATGTACCATTTGCACCATTTACCATTAAGTCATTTGTACCATTTGTACCATTTGCCACTGAGCCATTCATACCATTTACCATTGAGGAAGTTGTAACATTTACCTATGAGCCGTTTGTACCATTTACCATTGAGCCATTTGTACAATTTACCATTAAGCCAGTTGTACCATTTACCATTGAGCCATTTGTACCATTTACCTATGAGCCGTTTGTACCATTTACCATTGAGCCATTTGTACCATTTACCTATGAGCCGTTTGTACCATTTACCATTGAGCCATTTGTACCATTTACCTATGAGCCATTTGTACCATTTACCATTGAGCCATTTGTACCATTTACCATTGAGCCATTTGTACCATTTACCATTGAGCCACTTTGTACAATTTAAAACTGAGTCAGGTTTTTGTTTACCATTGAGCCATTGGTACTGTTTACCATTAAGCCTGTTGTACCATTTATCGTGGAGCCAGTTGTTCAATGTAGAATCTAAACTATCTGCACCTATTTATTATCTACCCCTATTTACTGTTGGTCAGTTTCTGACCACAGAGGCGCTCTTGGCTGGATATTTTCGCAGGGTGGATGTATATGTCCATCGCTCTGCGTGATGGTCTGAGACTGTAGCCTCTTCTGGATCGTGAAAGTGTTTGTATGGTATTGGAGTGTTCTGTGGCTGATGACCCCTGAGGCTCTGTCCTCTGCGGGGCTGTTAGGAGAGAACGTGTCAGAGACGTCCACTTAGTGAGGAACTGTGTGTGTGAAGTTGGATTTGTAGTCTGGAGTGTGTGTCGCCGTCTCTCTCCAGATTGAGAGTGTTGTCTGCGTTTCTCTGACGGATGGATCAGTAAAGCTTAGAGCACTGCTGTGATCTGTCAGCTTGGGGATGCTGTCACATGCGTTACAGTGCATGTTTCTGTGTGTACTGTGTGCTTGTTTTCATATACATTCAGGGCAAAACATTGTAGCAAAACCCAGAGGGATGTGTAGGTACTTACATACAGTCGTGTGTTTGAACACCCCCTGGTCAAATGACGTGTTTGGTTGATTATCCAAGTGTAGATAATTTAACATATCCTCTTTATTAAGTTTAAAATATTGGAAAAAAAACTAAAACTTAAAATCCAAATTTTCCCATTTGACTGAATACATAATATATATGGGGTATAGTGTTAGGCTATGTTCACACAGCAGGTAAAAGTGGCCTAAATCTGATTTTCTCACCAAATGTGATTTTTTTAGTTTGGCTGTTCAGATTATCTTTTAAATGTGATCTGTATGTGACATCAGTCTGAACAGATCAGCTCCTAAACTGACCCACATGTTTAAAAGAACAGAGCTTCACGCGGCTCATCCAGAGGTAAATCAATCACGACTGGCAACGAACACCAGTCACTCCCGGAGGATCAGCTTCATTTTCACCAGCATCACAGGAGCCATCATGAAGCTTCACTGACTGACAGCTGGGCTCATCACCCAGAATGTGTTCGAGATCGCCTTAAAAAGGGCTCAGTCGCTTCTTTGGTTCGTGTCTTCGGATTCTTTAAACTTTGCTTTCTGGCTTTTAACTGTTTTTTGACGCTGCAGCCTCGTTCTCCTTTGGCTGCATTTAGACATTTCTCTCGAAATCTC